AATCCCTCGTTTCGCCATCTGAAATTAATTTTTATAAACTGGACTTTTGAATTAACTTTACAAGCTATCTCTGTGGGAACGATATCTGATATTTTACCATTATTACTTGTTACTAGACGACAGTAGTTCGAGGTGTATACTTGCGCCAAGTTCTATTTTTGTGTTGAAATCTAAGGTTGAATAAACCGACGAGCAAGTTTTTGGTGCCGTTGTCGGGGATAGTACGCTGAAGTTTTTTCTTTTTAAAAGTAAAGTTTATAAAAGTTAGTTTTTCTACCATCTCTTTTTGTGAACGCACTGTGCATGCCAAGGCTGTCGCACGGTGAATTTTTTCCACTTGAACCAGATATTGAGCAAACTTTCAGACACCGAAGAAGAGTGCAAAGAGCCTTCGAGCTTTAAACTCTGAAACGATGGCTGAAAATGTGATTATTGACGGAGAAGATTTATTAGAAATGAACCAAATATTCCATATGAGGATGAGGCTCAAAACATCTTTCGTCTTGCAAATGCTAAAAATGGTGGCATTATGGCATATGTTATTCCTAACTTAACTCAACTGCACATAGGGATACGTAAGCCTACCATTGGTGCCACCCATTTTTCACTTAAACCACTGATGTTTCAAATGCTTCAAACAAACGGCCAGTACGCTGATTTATCTTCTGAAGATCCTCATTCTCATCTGCGTTCTTTTATGGAAATCACAGACTCTTTTCTCATCCCTGATGTTTCAGACAATGCTCTGAGACTAAAACTTTTTCCATTTTCACTAAGGGATCGAGCAAGAGCATGGTACAATTCTTTGCAACCAGACTCTGTGTCTACATGGAATGAAATGGCAGAAAAGTTTTTGAAAAAGTATTTTCCACCCACGAGGAATGCCAAATCCAGAAATGAAATCTGTACTTTTAGACAACTGGATGATGAAGCAGTTCCTGATGCATGGGAAAGGTATAAAGAGCTGCTGAGAAAATGCCATCACCATGGCATTCCGTACTGTATACAGCTAGAGACATTTTACAACGGTTTAAATATCGTTGGTAGACAAATGTTCGACGCTACTGCAGGCGGAACTT